TTCAACATCATGAAAATTAAACCTTATTTTCAATAAGCAATCCTGAAAAATATTTGGGGGTGCTTAACTTTTTTCCAGGTGTATACATGGAAAAACACACCTTAGAAAAGACTGCAAGGCATGGAAAAATATTGAAATAAATACTGGAAAACATTAAAATGCATGCCTATAATAAAAAACTGTACAGTTACTAAAATAAAAAAATGATATAACAAAATTGAGAGAATAAAAACTCATCAAAATGGATATTATTTACACAGAGAAATGGGGGGGAGTAGTGGTGACTGTTGTCGAAAACAAGATTAGTAAAAAAATTTGATAATATTTTGGAGAAACTTTTGTCAGTATGGAAACTGTGTATGCTTCAAACATGAAAAGACCACACAATTTCACTGTTTCAAAGTCACTGATTTGTGACTCCTGCATTTATTAAAATGTGACATACCGGTTGGGTGCTGCAATGTTTCTCAGAAGAGAATGCCATCTCAACTGTGTATGTTTTCAACAAGCTAAACAACCTAATATCAGTCTACATGGAAGCTCACTTACATGTTAATAATGGTTGGAGATGGCTTGAATGAGTAATGAAGAAAAACTTTAATATAACAGCAAATGTACAACGTTTCGACAAGGTTTTGTCAAAACATTGTACTTTGCTGTTATATTAAGGTTTTTCTTCATTACCCATTCAAGCCATCTCCAACCATTATTAGTCTCAAAATGGATTCCCCGTCATCGAATTTCACTTACATGTTATTCTACTCCATGTGGATGTATCTAATAAACACATCTTTCTTTCAGTCTAGCAATGGAAAATATGGCTTACAGCCAAGGAGTACAAGAAAGGCCTAAAGGACCTCAATATAGCTTGGCTCATACAGTATGCCTAGCAATGTTTGTCTCCTTCACACCAAAAGGGCTAGGCTGCCTGATATGGCTAATGGTCTGGGATTAACCAGATCATAAACCAAAATATCTGTAGGATACTACAAAAAAGGGTGAAACATCTCTTGGATAGATTAGAAAGGATTATATAGGTCTACAGTATGTTAATTATAACCTTAGATAATATCAGTCAGAAAATCAAAATGCATCACATCAATTTGTTTCTATATTCAGTTTGAGTGACTATGAAGAAACTTGTGACAGAATGGTGTTTTGGAAAATTCTTAATAATTATGTAATATATTATTTGCAATGTACTTTGAACATTGCTTCAAACATCATCTTCAAAATGTATATTAATTAATAAATTTCAACCTGGGAACTAGACATATAAAGGTTCCTGCTCATGAGTAAATATCTACCAGATCACAATAATTGTTTCATTTGGATGTAGAACTGGTATTATTGCTACTTCTTTCTGTCTCCTGGAAAATAGTCAAAACAAAAAAGATTAGATTCCTTGTAACCAGATTCTGAGTTTTATGACTTGGTGTATATTACAAGCCTGGCAGGACAACAAAACAAGAAATACATGTTTAACAATAATAACAACTACATTTCATGTATTTTACTTATTGAAACAACTTAACTTACCTTGCCAAAATTTCTTCTGGCAGAGGTCCAGATTCAGAATCCACTGACATACACAAAGTTGGGCTTGGTACAGGCCAAGAGGTCTGTTCTATGGGAAAGTCGGCTAACTTAGGAATTCCCACAATTAACCCTAAGTCACCCAGTCTTGATAATACTACCTCTTCTTTAGCTTGGCCAATCAAAACTCTCATTACTACAAGGACTAAACACATCCACTGGTTGAGAATGGAGCTACAATTCTGTACAACAACAAAAATTTCATCAAGTGCATCTTTTCATTTGATTTCCCTAGAGTTGACACAAAATCACTGATTTTTTTTAAACAGTTAAGATTAATTCTGCATATTATTTTTCCCAGTTGAAATGGGAAGGTGCACAACATAAAAGTAACATACATATTTTCACTGAGATTACAGATGTTACATTCTGTTTTAAATGTAGAAGGTCCAATCTAGGTTTTGTTTGTTAGTTTTGGACATTTGTTAAAATCTACATAAGGGCTATCTGCATTAGCTGTCCCTAGTTTTAAACTGATAAATTAGAGAGAAGACATCTAGTTCACAACACCCACCACAGATTCTTGGACTATTCTAATTCAGTAGTAGGACTTGATAATCACTCTGATAATGTACCTACATCCTCAAAGGGTAGGGTACAATTTTATGGCAACAGGATATGAACCAAGGGCTCTCAAATTCACAGGGCAGCACACTAACAACTAGGTCATGCCCAGCTTCCATCTAAGGAAGCAAAGGTTTGTAGTGAAAAGAAAACAAGTTATCACCATATAACATAAAGTTCATGATTTTAATTCATAGTGCGAGTTTCAAAAATATATAAAGTTCTTTTCTTTTCTTGTACTTCCATAACTTAAGCTTAAGCAAAATATATGTCCAGGACATCCCAAATTGCATATTCATCACAATTCAAAGTTCACTCATGAGATGTTCATAAAGTGAAAGCTTGGAGTAATTAACATATAATACGGAGTTAGCCACAAAATACTTGTATATTTTATAACTATATCCATCATATTACATTTTCCTTTGCTTTTTAAATAAACTTTTAAATAATTGTGCCTTATTTGAGCCAGTCTGCTATCATTCTGTCAATCAAATTTTGGGGCGTAAAAATTACTTTGATTTTTATGTCCAACAATATTACACATGCATAATATCATGTATACAAAATTGATAAACTTTTGGCAAAGTGAATAAAGAATAAAAAGTTTCTACACTTGTAAACTTAAAATTGATTTGAATTACATTCAAAAGCTTGAAGACTGCACAAAAAACAACCATTAATATATTCCATGGCACACAGTCCAAAAATTCACTTAGGTCTGACTTTTGTAACACAAATTTGATATGTATATATTCATAAACTTTATAGAAGTGCATTATAAAAACTATATTACTGATGTGACAGATTTGGTGCCCAATATAAAAAAACAATTATTATTCTAAATAAGGACAAATCAATATTGGTTTGAGTCAAACAACATTCAGTATACTTTTTAAGTGAAATATGTTCTTTCAAAAAGTGAAAAAGATAAAATGCTCAAAAGGTCTACTTACTAATAGCTGAAGAATAATTGGGCATATATATATATATATATGTGTGTGTGTGTGTGTAATTATTACTGTAACTGTTTTAAAGACAACTTTTATTAGGATCAAATGTACCATATGTAAAAATACTTAAAGAAACAATGCTTTACATGTATGGATGGAGATTGGATATCCAAATAAAACATTTGGTTCAAATCATTATTTATTTATTAGCATAATATTACAATGCAAGAAAAACTGAGTAAACTTTACTTAAGTCATCTGGGTTCATTAATAAGAAATATAACTTATAGTGTCCAGTGTCTCAATTTCAAAAACATATATATTATAACAATACTGTCACCAAATTTGTATGGAGGTTCATTAGGTCCATGTGAGGGTACATACAAATTTTCAGTTTTGCATTTTTTACCACTACTTTGCCCTCTGTGTAAATGAATCTTCACCAAATTTGGTATGGAGGTTCACTGGGTCCATGGGGAGATACATACACACTTTCAATTGTGCATTTTTCCATTTTGCAGTTTTTATGGGCATTTTTTACCACTCTCACCTCCTGTGGATGAATCTTCACCACATTTGGTATGGAGGTTCATTGGGTCCATGGGGAAATACATACACACTTTCAACTATGCATTTTTGCATTTTGCAGTTTTTATGGGCATTTTTTACCACTCTTTTGCCTCCTGTGGATGAATCTTCACCACATTTGGTATGGAGGTTCATTGGGTCAATGGGGAGATGCATACAAACTTTCAGTTTTGTGTTTTATGGTCGTTTTTGTGTATTTTACCACTACTTTGCCCCTGTTGATGGATTTTCACCAAATTTAGCATGAAGGTTTGTTGGGTCCATGGGGAGGTACATACAAATTTTCAGTTTTGCATTTTGCAGTGTTTATGGGCGTTTTTGCATTTTTTTACTACCACTACTTTGCCCCTTGTTGATGGATCTTCATCAAATTTGGCAAGAAGGCTTGTCTGGCACATGTGGATGTACATGCAAAGTTGCAGTTTTACATTTTGTGTTTTTCAGTTTTTATGGGCATTTTTGCATTTTTTACAATTACATATAAGGGAAGCAACTTTTAATGTCCTAAGATAACCTTTCATTAATCATCAATTTACATAACTTCCATCCAGGGGTTGGGTACTTCAGCTAGTAAACAATATATATATACACACACACACACATATTGATACTTTTTAATTAACTATGGTAATACAAATTTCTATTTGATTAATCATATGTTTTGTGAAAAAATATTCATTTCATCATTCATATGTGTTCATCCAACTTGTATTAGTAACAATTAACAAATGTCCCAACAAAATAAATACATTCTAAATAGCAGAATATGGAACAGTTCTCATATTTTTGCTCAGTCTGTTCCTCTTCACAAGAGACTAGAGCAGAATTTGTTGAGAATCCCAAAGTCAGTATTTTTGAAATTGAAAATTGTATGCTTAAAAGCTTTTCATGAAATTTTAATAAATTCAATATATCAACAATTCATAGTATATTTTAAAAGGAAATTGTTTTTTATATAAGCACTTGACTCTAGTATCACAACTATGGCTCTTCATAAAATTTCAAATGTACTAAAAATCCTCATATATGAAAAACTTTCTATACTAGTGATTCCAGTGCTTTCTGTGAAATATATGATTTGAATTATGTAATTTGCTGTAACACAAGTTTACAGTCAATCCACACATGACTACTAAGACTACTGGTGTTATATCATCAGTAAACAAGATATGAAACTGACAGAAATATAGAACATGGACTGTGACACGATAGATAGATACTTCTTTAAAGCCTATGTTACTACAAAAATGCAGTATTGATACACAATCTTACATCTCACATCACAATGTACCAGAATATTTGTTCTGAAGAGAACTATTGTCAAACATAAAGTACATAATTAAAACAAACACCTTTGTGCACTTCCATAAAGCTAATCCACAAAAGTGACCCAGATCCACTGGAAAAACAAACACTCATGTACACTTGAGTCCACAGAAGTAAATAAGACTCAGATCCACTGGTATATACACATTAAAACAAACACCCAAATGAACTTTAAAAAAGCCAGCCCACAATATTACACATGAACCAGATCCTCTAGAAGAGAACTGCTACCAAAGGTTATTTTAGTTGGCAGGAGTTGTTAAAGCTGAAGCTAAAAGACTTAGCTTACAATCATATGTGCAATCTATATATGTATTATATATCTATCTATATATAATGTGTGTGTGTGTATATATATAGCTGTGTCTTCCAACAGAGCAGACTTATCTGACTCACAACCTACTCAAATGCACTAAGACAACTTCTTTCCTATGAGCCTTCTGCAAATCAGGTGGCCAAAGCTAAACAAAGCCGAACATTCTGGATCCATACTACCTACTCAAATGCATACATCTATAGGACAGACATCAAGATGTTAACAGAAGCTCACAACCAATCTGTCTGATGATGATGTTTATGGGTCTAATAGTGCAAAGTAACTAATACCATTTGCACTAAATGGAGAAAGTAAAACCTACATAATAAATTAATACAGAGAAATTGTAAAAATATATATACATATAAAAACAATTAAGAAGAATAAACAGTAAAGGAAACTAGTAAAAGCGTAAAATCTTATCACAAATGCCAATGGCCTGCAAAAATGTAAAAACAGTCATGTTGAACAATGCCATCATTCCCTAGGGTACAGGACAATGTAAAATGGACATAAAATTAATAAACATGTCTAATAACCTGCTGCTACTGAACATTAGTGAAAAGGAAAGCAAACTAACAGGAACCAGTCAGAGCTTCTCCTAAGAATTTTTTTTCAAGTGCAAAATTATATTTTAACTTCTTCATTTTTAATGTATGATGCCTTATTTCACCTCATATATACAGGCCTAGTAACAAATGATCCAAAAAATGAAGAATACTCTAGTAAACACATTTATTTATCAACTTTGGAGTGGAATTTTATAGATATTATTTTTGAATATTTATCCACTTCAACTTACTTATATAGGTGAATTTTCAACTGCACAAATATTTTTTCAGCTGCACAATTTGTGATCAACTGCACACTAGGAAAACCCCCTGGAACCAGTTAATGGAGTGTCACATTGTTCATCTGACACGTAACATGTACTGGTGGATAAAAAAATAATAATTATAGCCAATGCAGAAAGAAATGCACTAAGACCTATGACCCTTCTGCAAACCAGGTTGCCAAAACTAAACAAAAAGTTTTATCTGAAAAACTGTTTTTCTGCTGTTTATCCCAAAGCCTGGATAGCACATGTGAAATAGGCTGAGGGTCAACAAATGGGAACCAAGTCACTGCCCTAAATCCCACCTGCACAAAGAATAAAAAAAAACTAAACTCATAATAGCAAGAAGAAGTAGACCAATTTTCTGCAAAGATCAGAATACAAAAAAAACAACAGAATATGGACTATTATTAAGTAATTTCAGGGTCAGCTAGAAGACAAGCAAGCTGGTGTAAACAATACACTGAATTGACTGTTTAGTTCCTCTATAATCTAAGGAAAATAACTGTTTGTGTTTTTTTGCTAGGAAAGCCACATTAGGCTACCTGCTGTGTCCACTGAAGGGAATCGAACCCCTGATTTTAGCATTGTAAATCCAAAGTCTTACCCATTGGGGGACAGGCAAATAAGTCTGTATGTAACTTAGCAGTGAAAATGAAAGCTTCAGAAGGGATGAGCAACTACAGTATCACAACAAACCATGTCTGAACTAGCTAAGTTGATATTTTCAATCAGGGGTGTCCAGCTTTATAAGGTGGCTCAAAGAACAAACCACATGTTGAATGGTAACAAACTTTAATGAGTTAGGCTGACCATCACACATAGCAACTGCCTGAACAAACAGACCAATTTCATTCAAAATCACATAAATATGAAGACTCAAAGGAATAGTCAAATGACTAGTTGCAAAAAGCATGGCTTAATGAGGCACAAAAAGTGTCAAATGGGATGCTGAAGCAGGAATCATAGCTTTGGAATATATTGCAAGGATAATTGTGTACAATATATACACCTGGAAAAAAGTTAAGCACCCCCGTGTTTTTTTCAAGTGATTCAGATTCG